TAAAAATGTCTTCACACAATTTTAGTGACAAAAAATTGAAAACGCCTTGCTATCAGAGGCGTCGCGAGGCGGGGGTGGGGGTGTGGTAAAAAAATGGTCGCATTCCATTCAGGGGCCATTACTAGCAGAGAGAGAAAAAACTAAAATATCAGTAGATGCCAATATTATCAACCAACATGAAGACGGCTATCAAATTCATAGAAAATCGGGATAAGGACTGTTGAATGCGAAGCGAGGGTTGAGGGGCTAACATGGGCCTAGATAAAGAGACTCGTCCAAAACAGATTCCGCTGGAGGGGTGTCTGCAGCTCCTTGCCCCTCGGGGTTTTCACGGGATTAAGTCAAGCCAAACACCACATCACAACTATTATATTATTGGATACCTTGCTAAACTAGAATATCACTATATTTATTGATTTTAGCACATATGTAAAAGAGAAAATATCCCCAATTTATTTATGTATCGTTTCTCAGAGGCGTAGCAAGGGCGGGGTGGGGGTGCGGACCACCATCACCATCATATACTTATATATATATATATATATATATATATATATATATATATATATATATATATATATATATATATATATATATATATATATATATATATATATATATATATATATATATATATATTCTTGGGGTGAGGGGTGTCACCACGAAAAGCCGCACCGGTGACACCCGATCTAGCGACGCCACTATCGTTTCTCAAGGGTATTTGTTGAGATATTTATCACTGAGATATCCGCTGAGATATCCGCTGAGGTATACGCTGAGAACAAATCTATCAACAACATTACAAGGGCTCTAACATCTTGACACGGATCATTTCTGGTTTCTGCTGCTACTTCATATGGACACGGAGGGAGGGCGTGGCTGAGGGGAGGGGGGGGGGGGTGAACGACCTTGTTCTCAACTTGGATTGTACAAGAAGAAAAAAAGTTGTAACACAAACACAATCTCTATCTCTTTCCCACCGTCTGTCTTTCTATTCCCTCCCAAATTATCTACTTTCCTCTGTCTCTCTATCCCCTCACAAATTATCTGCCTGCCTCTCTGCCTCTCTATCCCCTCCCAAATTATCTGCCTTCCTCTGATTAATGTGTAGTCTTGTAAGCAAGGTTGGGTTTAATCGCATCATTCTTTTTAATTTGGCGAAACAATTTAGTTTAGTATTTTAAACAACCTACTTCATTTGGTGTTCACTGAGGATCGGTGACCTTTAAAGCTTGAACGGTTCATTAAAAGTTCTGACATTTATTTTACAGTGGTTCCTTCTCAACCAGATTCCGTTTATACTGTTTGTAGAGCTTGATTTCTAATGTTGGAAATAGACGTTCATAGAGAAACAACTAGGTCTACATCATCAATGGTGTCAGTCAACTACAGCATCAATGGTGTCAGTCAACTACATCATCAATGGTGTCAGTCAACTACAGCATCAATGGTGTCAGTCAACTAAGTTGAATCAATGGTGTCAGTCAACTACAGCATCAATGGTGTCAGTCAACTACAGCATCAATGGTGTCAGTCAACTACAGCATCAATGGTGTCAGTCAACTACAGCATCAATGGTGTCAGTCAACTAAGTTGAATCAATGGTGTCAGTCAACTACAGCATCAATGGTGTCAGTCAACTACAGCATCAATGGTGTCAGTCAACTACAGCATCAATGGTGTCAGTCAACTACAGCATCAATGGTGTCAGTCAACTAAGTTGAATCAATGGTGTCAGTCAACTACAGCATCAATGGTGTCAGTCAACTACAGCATCAATGGTGTCAGTCAACTACAGCATCAATGGTGTCAGTCAACTACAGCATCAATGGTGTCAGTCAACTACAGCATCAATGGTGTCAGTCAACTACAGCATCAATGGTGTCAGTCAACTACAGCATCAATGGTGTCAGTGACCACAACTAAAATGATGACAGTCGATCATATTTTTTTTAAAAACTACAGCTTCCATAGAGTCAGTCATGTGTTTCTTATCTCCAACTGCTAGAGCTGTTCTTGATTTTAAAATATTCCAAGGCCAATTTCTTCCAGTTGAATACTTGAATAGGTCATTTGTTCCTGCTCAGTCTGTCTAGCCAAATAGTCGGCATTGCATGTAGCAAACGCGCTGTTAGTGGTTTTAGATATAAAGACATGAATGTTTGTAAATGTAACAGCATCAATTTTTTTTTTTTTTTTTTTTTTTTTTTTTTTTTTTTTTGCTTTAAAGCATTTTGTAATCAAGGATCTATTCGTGTAGACGAATATTTCGCATCAATCACTTTTTCAAGTGTAGTCGAGCCCATGATTACTTACCCGAAATTCTCGAGTTCGTTTTGTTCGACTTCCCTAAGTTCACCCAGCTCAGCTGATTACCTGGCAGGAGACGGGGAAAATTCAAGGCGGCTGGACATTGCGCTGGCCACACTTTTCGTTTACATGCTGAGGTAGGAGGAAAGATAAACTTAACGTCGTCTGCCCAGTCTTCTGTCGTGTCTGAATGTGTACTTTTACTGAGACAAATATTTAAGTGAGGTAAAACAATTTCAGACCCCCCCCCCCCCCCACACACACACACCTACCCTCCTCCCACAAAACGGGACTAAAACTGTTGTAAAAAATAATGCTGTTGACAAAGTTTTAGGCTGTTGACAAGGAAAGCAACATCATTGGTTAGACCAGTCACGTGATCTTTGTACTTCCATGACGTAATTACAAGCGGCATTAGGAGATCATTCAATAATCATCATAAAAACATGTTTTAGGGGGGACTAAGCTGTTGTTTAAAATGTTTGTTTTCGTTCGAGTTAGCACTTTCTAAGGTTTAAGGAACTTGTAGGTTCATGTGATGAATAGGCCTACTTTAAAGTAAGTGTACACACTTTAAGGCCGAAACTATGTAGGATCACGTTATAAATACTTTAAAGTGTACACACATTTAGGCCAAAACTACGTAGGATCACGCTCTTTTTGTCATGAGTTTCAACCCTACAGTCAATCGTTCCGTCTAAATATTATTTAAATATTATGTATCGTTTTATTACTGCGGGGTAGGTTGTTGTAGATTTTTTTAAAAATCTCTAATCATGTTAGAAATATATTTTTCCACCTAAATTAAATGGTGGTAAAGTTAGGACTGTATGCTGATCATCATGGGGGGGGGGGGGTGGATATGGGGTGTAAGCTGATTATCTCCGAGTGAGGGTTGTATGCTGATTACCACGGAAGGGGGGGTGAAATCCTAAATGTCCGATCTCACGTGCATCAGCTAGAACCCGGATCAAACACATTCAAATCGATGACCTCTCAAGATCTCACGTAAGAATTGACACCGTTTTTCTACGCTTCTGTTATCTATTCATAAGAAAAAACATGATCTGTTTATTTATGTCAAGGGGCGGTGTGTGAACACGAAATGGACCATTTGTCATGTTAAAGAAGATTTCGGTAAATATTCGCTCTTAGACATGGAGTCGATAGCACGGGATTCACTGCAGAAAGGGGGGGGCGGTCCCATGGCTGCACGTGCTTCTGTGAGCTAGAGAAATAAAAACGTTAAGGCTATGCGAGGCTATCAATAACAACTGCAGGGAGATATAAATAGAAACAAAGATGTCATGCTTGTACATAGCAAGTGTGAAAATAATAGCAAGGCTAACATCACATCACGTAAACAATGTTTACTTCATACAATAAATACAAATATATGCATATGCATATTTATATATAAACAAATAAATAAATATGTATACGCACACACACACGCACACACACACACACACACACACATATATATATATATATATATATATATATATATATATATATATATATATATATATATATATATATATATATATATATATATATATATATATATATATATATATATCACAAATCTCAGATGTCGAAAATAAATGAAAATGAATCTTCTCATGCCTCGGGGTAATTAAAAACGCATTCTATCTGAATAATTATTTTGTTTTTGTTCAAGTTTTTGTTGATGTTCTAAACCCTTAAATTATCGTCCGCCATTTTGTCACGTAGCTCTGGCCATTAGCTGACCTGTCGGTCGAGGTCAGCACCAGACTATCAGGCCGTCTGGCACGTACCAGAAATCTCTCAGCTACTATATTGGTGATGGTGCCAGAGGCGTAGCGAGGTGGGGTGCATATGTCCCCGGGCGCCGACCTTAGGGGGCGCCAAAATGGGTTGGAAAAACAAATTAAAATCTAATTTTAGCTGCAGTTTTTGCATTATAAAAAAATATATGGGGGGTGGGGTGCAAATTGATAGTTTGAGGGGGGGGGGGGGGTTGCAAATGGAAAGTTTGAGGGGGATGCAAATTGAAAGCTTGAGGGGGGGGGGTGCAAATTGAAAATTGAGAGGTCGTACCCCAGGGGGGAGCCAAATTGGGAGGCCCGAAGGGGGGCGGGGGGAATCAATGACCCATCTAATTTTTTGTCTGCCAACTTTATCCATAATACCTGGTCACCAAGTCCAGTAATTACCGTCTACCTAATTATCCCCCAGTCAATTATCACGGAACATAACCAGGATCAAAGCGAGATACTGAGTGATGCACATGGAAGGGAAGTAACTGATGAACTCATGGAAGGGAAGTAACTGATGAACTCAATCTAAGCCACTCATAGGTTATACGTCTACCTTGCTAACTAGTTGGGCTCAAACTAATTGCTCTTTCAGGGGACGTAATTTGGTACTACTTCAAAAAAATGTCAGATACGCCAGTAATTAATGTTTCAATATAAAATACCCTGGTACCTCTTCAGATGAAATGTTGTGTGATTTTACTTTCCATCTGTTTTTAACACATTTCTCTGTTTTTAAAATTGTTCCCAGTGAAATTGAAAAGAATGTAAATAACTAAGTCAAGATCTACATCAGCACCACAGAACACTAACAAATTTTGGAAGTTTTAAAATTTCAAACAAGAAAATGTTCTGGAATAAAAAGTGCTTTAATGACCAAAGAAAATAAAACCACTAAATTATTTTGTTCAAAACATTTTTATTCCAAGTAAAGAATAGTTAATATTTGAACTGTGCTAAAACAATGGTTGTGTTCATGATAAAACAATAATGGTGTTCATTTATTTCTCTGCACCATCATGAAAGCCCTTCTATGTTTATGTACAAAGCTGTCAGATTAAACAATGTAATAGTCTTCACCTTTAATTCAGGCTTTTTCATTATTTATTTAACTAGTGAGTAACATTATACTACATCTCTTTCTTCAATACAATCCTTAAACAATGCATCCACTTTCCTCAATACAATCATTACCAACATATCAGCTTTCTTTAATTCAATCATTAACTAAATACATCAGCTTTCCTCAATACAATCATTAACCAACTGCATCAAAAATCCTCATTACAATCATTACACTACACATTGGCTTTCCTCGATAATCATAAACTGACACATCAGCTTTCTCAATACAGTCATTAACTACACCAGCTTTGATTGTAGCAATCATTACCCAATACATCAGCTTTCCTCAATACAATCATTAACGAGTCGTTGTAAATTAGGGTTCTCCATAGCTGCAGATATTCTTTCCTTGTCATTGATCTGTTTGTTAACTGGAGATGTAGAAAATTTCATCTATTACATTTACAGTAAACAAAAACCTAATTGCAAACTAACCAAAATGTCTGAATCTAGGTAGTTCATGATGTGACCGAATAAATATGGAATTTCACATCACTAACACATCACATCTAAATAATGATATAATTCTTGAATTTATGAAGTAAAAATAACAATCTAGCTGAACCTAGAATTGAAATCAGTGCAAGTATATTTTTAAGTAACAACTCACTGGTCAATAGTACAATCTAGATATTCAACAGGTCTTACTAAATGTCAAAGAAACTTCCTTGCATTTTAATGAACTTCTAGCTAAAATGTGTTTTAAATTTAAATATATCATTTAATATGCCTGAGAGTTTATAGACATATATGTTAATGAAGTATTATAATCTTGTAATCTTTCAAATCAATATAAAAAAAATTTTTACTTTCATTGGCTGTTTCATGTGTTCCCTCCTTGATGTAGATGTCAACCTGTGAACCATAAAGTTGTTTATATGGCTCTTGTATCAGATTAACAAAAACAATTGCTGACAATCAGTTCAAATTAAATGAAACTTGATCTTTTTTATCACAAAGTTTCATCTTTCAATTTTTTTTGTCACAAGTTTTATTAGACGTTTTGTAGAAAAATATTATATAAAAAAAATAATTTTGTAAAATTTTATCATTTAAAAAAAAATGTTCAAAGGGTTTAACTGCTGTGTAGATCAGTATAGAAGATGTAGAAAGGCAATCTAGTTTTATGATTAGGGTTTAAGTCACTAAATCAGCAAAATTTGATTTCAATATGTTCTATGGATGGATTACATGTTTAACAAAAATGATTATCAAAAATTGTAACTGCATTTTGTCGTAAAATTATTTTCTTCTTCGTTCTTAATGATAAAGTTGGAATGGATTTTCTCCAATACAATTACATATTACAGGTCATCAGGTAAATGTACCATATTGCCTGTTGAATCTCAGCCTGCTTTTCTTTATGGATTTGCTTCTATAGCCTTTGTCCATCCAAGAACTACAAGGCAGCAGTTGTTTGATTTTGGAGTTTTTCCCAGTTGTCAAGCCTCATCTGCCTGAGAAACTACTTAAATCTAAAATTAAATCTAAAATTTTAAACTTTTAATCTTTGTATAGACCTTCAAGAAATTTGATCATACATAAATTGTTCAATCTGACACTTGATATTTAATTTAAGAGCAGACAGAAAAACTATAGCACTCAGTGTACTTGTCAAGGTCAAGTTCAACTATTTTGGTAGAAGAAGAAAGACGAAATGAATGGTATTATATAACATTAAAAAATTACCTTCACTTTCTCTGGTAGACACTTGTTAAGTTTGGATCTCATAGACAAACCTACAGAAAAAAGAAATGAAGATTTTTAAGCTATCTCTTTAGATAAAAAAGTACAAAATTGCAAGCTTGATAAATTGTTTTTAATTCATATTTCTTTTAAAGCAGTTTTTAGCAGGAGAATACAACAGGAAATCCCAGATGAAGTAATTTGTACAAACCAATGATCGAGGCAAGGTTACAGTGAGGAACTGTAGGAACAAATTCAATGCGCACCATCAGCTGGCCTGTCTTCAGTCTGTAGACCTCAATTCCTGACTCAGAGACCACATTCAAGTCTTCCAGAGAATCTGGTTTCTCTGGGTCACGTATGACACTGATGAGGTCTAAATAAAATGTGTACATTTGGAGAATTGTTACAAACCCTCATGACAAGATCTATTTATAAATCAAAAATGTAATAAGAAAGTTAAATGTTACAATGTAAATTAATTTCCAAATTCTACAACAACAAATAAAAAAGGCAGCCAGAATAACATAGCATCATTTTTTTTTCTGCAAATAGCCCCTACAATTGTTAAACAGGATTAGAAATAAGATTAATTGACCCAGTTTATAAAGCATAAAAGTAAAGATTCCTCTTTAGACCTAGTGATCCATTGGGCAGATGAAGTAGGGTTTAACTGTTTCTAGACCTTGGTGTATGAAGGGATAATGTGGTCAGCACTATGCCATTCCACCTTTACTTTCCCTAATGTTTTAGGTACACATCAGAGCTGGGTGGACTCAGGGGCTTTCCACTGACTTGAACCTAGATTCTAACTTGAGACTTTCGGGTTAGCAGTCAAGCAGCTCTCTACCACTAGGCCACACCATCCCATCTCAGGTTATACAGAATAGTTACTGCAAACTAGCATAAACATGGCATATAATAAATACACTATACCAACCTTTTAATGAGTTAATGATTTCAAAACAAACCTGTTAAACCTCTTAAGTAATATTGTAATAAAGGAAAATAATTTTTACCATAAATTGTTTCTCGTAAAGTTTTCAATTCACGATCATCTTGAACCTCAGTTACATTTGCCATGGAATACTATTTTCAAACTTTTATTACAACTTTAAGCTTTCTTATTTGTAGGTCCAACTAAAAAATAATACATAAAATACTAATGACTACTTTCAAAATTAAGGTGTTTGTTTTAGGCATGGTATAGTTGCAACTAAAAAAATAAAAATGCCTAGTTAGTTTTAATATACTGATTTAAGATTTTCTAATATATTTATTAAAAATATTAAAGGTAGCCTATAAATATATAAACGGACAAATCAACTGCCAGTTGAAGTAGAGATCCTCCAGAGAAAATGGAAATGGATTGGCCACACACTCAGGAAGCCTGTATCCAGCATAACAAGACAGGCCCTCACCTGGAATCCACAAGGCAGGAGGAAGAGAGGCAGACCAAGAAAGACCTGGAGACGTGACCTGGAAGAAGACACCAAGAAGATTGGATACACCTGGGGGGAGTTGGAGAGACTAGCCCTGGACAGAGACGTCTGGAAAGCTCTTGTCAGCGGCCTATGTCCCAGTAGGGACGACAGGCAAACATGACATGACATGATAAATATACTTCAATATTCTCCTCTGGGATCCCCCCCCCCCACCCTAAACCAAATTGAAAAAACATATATATAAATTATATTGAATTATATTTTTACTTTAACCAGTGACATCCCCTTTCCTCCCATCCCAATATCATTATTGATATTAGGCCTAAAAAATAAATACTAGGTTCATTTTTATTTTATTTATTTATATTTATATTATTTTTATTCATTTGTTTAATTACAATTCGACTGGGCCTAAAATATATATTTAATATGGCAAAATTGAATGAGAATTTAGAACTTTGGTACAAATAAAACATTGACTTTGCTGGTCTTCACTTGTGATGATGAGTCTTTGACTTAATCTAGGTTATAGATAGGAGTATTTATACTTAATTTATAGTATTATTAGGCCCAAGTTTTTTAATTTTAGGGTCATTTATCAATTTAGGTGCGTAAAATCGGCCGAGGTTAGTAATGTGCAAAAAAAAGTTGCCTCGTTAAGGCTTTAATCTAAGTATATTGTGATATATTTGTGTTATAGATAACTGAATAATAAACCAAAATCAATGGCTAAATTAAATATATCAATATAGGCAAGAAATTAACTTTAAACAGCAGTGTTTGCTAGCAGGATTTGCTATAAAAAAAAGCGGCCATCTATAAGTTAGGGTGGTTTCCCCTGAATCTCTACCAAAAAAAAAATTATACACAAATTGCTGGTTAATGTCAATGCTAACCCTGTCCCTAAACCTAACCCCAATCCCTACCATACGGCGATACGCAAATCATTTATTATTTTTTATAGAAAAGTTTTAATACAATTGTCATCAATTGTTTGAAAACAATATACAGCAGGATTTGCTATATAAAAAGCGGCCATCTGTAAGTTAGAGTAGCTTCCCCTGAATCTTGCGTTATAAGTTTACAAAAAAAAACATAAACAAGATGGCTGCTATAGTATGAGCATGGTTGCATCTGTTGGAAACATCGCTAGTCTTCATTTATTACTGAAAAGTTTTATGGACACCAGCGAGTTGACGAGATTCCTTCTGTAATGTTGTTAACATGGAATAAAAATGTGCTTTTTTAGATTTAGGACCATAAAACTAATAAAAGATAAAATTTTATTAAAAACTTAAGCCTAAAATTAATTCAGAAATGTAATATTTTTAGAATCAATGCTATACAAGTTGCAGATCCAGAGAACTTGAAAATAATTTGTTGAGTTTAAGGCTACATTTCTATTTATTTTCATCAAGCCTAAGTTATAACCCGATGTTTCACTTTTGTAAGACAAACATTGATTGGCTGTAAAGGAACTCCGTGATCGATTTCTGACAGCCCCACTTTATAGTTATTTTGTTTACAAAACTTTGCAGATCAAGTTTTTAAATAACTATGCAAATTTAAACATCATGACCTATTTTTTCTATTTTTAGCTTACAATGTGTACAATAAAATTTATGGCGGCTATTGTTTATGTCGCCATTACACGTGAAAACCAAATTGTTTTTTTTTTTTGTTTAATTTTTATTTAGTTACTGAAAATATTAAAAACATCAAATACATCCAATCTTTAGTAAAGTCCGAAAAAAAACAGACAGGATTTTATTACCATATTATTGTAACTACGCAGTGCAAGATTTTTAAATGAATTTATGGACCTCTCAAATAACTTTGAGACTTTTCTCGCTGGTGTCCATTCAATTGTTTAAAAACAGGTAGGCCTACATAAATGAAACAAGGAAACCTTTTTGTATTTTTCAAAACATAAAAAATCCTCCTCAAAATGTGAAATAATTATTAATATTTAAGGAGTCACCTGTTTTTCACATTACTAGTCGCGGGCGATTTTGCGTACCCAAAACAATAGATTACCCAAAAGTCTATCAGTCAGAATCAGTCTGGTGTCTTTCAGTAGTATCAGTGTACTGTATCTGCTGACTATCTGAGTAGATCTAGATCTAGTATGCAAGAGAAGCTAAAGAAATTTCGTTTAGATTAGATTTAGTATAAAAAAAAGTCTTAAGTTCGTCTACTTTTGATTTCAGTGTTTATAATAAGTTAAAGATCAAGATCTAACTAAACATAGAACTAGATTTCTAGAATTGTAAAAATATTTTTAAGTTACGTTAACTTAGACTTAGACTAGATCTAGATCTAGACTCCATCTGACTTCTACTGCTAAGTCTAGTTGAGTCGTTTATGAGAGTTATCGCCCTTCAACGGTGAAGGATTAATTTTATGTCCAATATATTTAATTTAATTTAGAGCCTGTTCTCTATAAAAATAACATAAATGATGATGTATGGGAAGCTGAGGCTGGAGAGGTTCTGTAATTTAAAAATCACTTTCTAACACTGCATCATAGCAGTTGTTTTACTTTTATTTTCAGATATAAGCTCATATAAGTTGAAATAAATCTTAGTCTGTAAAATACTGACACAGGTAGTATAGTATTTAAGAAATTCCTATTTACAAGTCCTGTACAAGTCAGAGAGTGGGGTGATGGTGGGTTTGAACAAAAGTGAGCTGTCAAATTAGACATGACTGTGTGTGTGGTTGGGTGTATTGTGGTGATTTAATGGGGGGGGGGGGGGGGGGAGAACCACCAATCCAGTATAACATCCAGAGCCATTTATCAATAACCCTAAAGGCTTCAAATCAAAGTATAAAGCAAAAGATTAAAAAATAGCTTTGGTTTAAAAGGAAAAAGGGGTAGTAACTACAATTTACTTGGAGGAAGATTTACTCTTGAGGAAAAGGTATGTATTTTCACTAAAATAAATAACAAGAAATCAACAAACTAGTCCAAGGGGATCAGACAGACAAAAGTTTGCTTGTGTATGATATCAATAAATAGAATCTAGTAATAAAGAAACGAAACAAAAATTAGCTGTGAATTATTTTTACACTTTAATTAACCTCATTATCATTATTAAATATTCCGAAAATTTACAAATGACAAACTTCTCGATACGTATATCTAAACATTAACAATACAAGTGTTACAGGGTTGCATAAAGATAAAATATTGCTTAAGTAAGATTTAGCAGTTTAGATGTTGAGAAGACTGAATATACAAACACTGCATCATCAATCTTGGGTGTTACTTTTGTCCTTTACATTATGATAGTCACAGCACAATATTATAGATCTACTTAGCAGCATTAAGTGTGCCAGCTAAAAATTTATACATAAACAAACATACAAGCAGTCAGTTTGATCCTGCCTATCAACAACTTAAGGACATTATATTGTGGTCCAGGTCAAACTGCTTATTCCTTTAAATAAAAATCTAGTTTTCTAATTGTACAAAAGGTAACATAAAATCTAAAAACCAATTTACTCCTACACAATAATGAGATATTTGACTTTAAGACATTAAATTTCAAAATTAAAGCTACAGCTTTATACTATTTTTATGAGAAATTTTTAAAAAATTAAAAGTAATACAGTGAAATTATGTTGAAATTGTTTTAACTTATTGAATGTGACTTTTAATAATAAAAATTATTATTATAAACAAATAGTTTTGTTTCTATTCTAGAAATTAATATTTGTGCTTAATTTATACAGGCCTATAGGAGTATTCTACAAATAAGCCTAATGCTAAAAGCTGGAAGAGTAATGTTCAATTTTAACAGAAAACATGTATATTTTTATTAGATGTACATTTAAGCTTAAGCTGCTAAACATGCACATGGGAAGTTAAAATAAGATAGCAGCATTAAATAAATATGTACAAATGTTTTGTTTTGGCATTTTGCGAATTAAAAGAAGATATAAATTTACCTCAGCAACATTTTACAAACTAAAGGACAAAAATGTCTTCAACCAACTTCTTTTTGCATGATAATTATAAGTTTATTTATATTGTAACACATATTTTGGCCTTTTCAGATTTGGTGTGTCTCCATTGAATAATAGTCAATGTGGTGTAAAGTTGATTTTACAAAGTAACTATAAAATGACTGCAAGTGTATGTTTCCTTGATGAAACATTTAAAAGGCAAGGCATCTTGTATAACATATTCTGCACCAATACAATTTTTGTCCCACATGTAAATCTGAACCTTCTGAAAGCAGTAAAGTTAGTCCGGATACAAAGTCTATGCGTGCTTTTGGCATTAAAATATGGTTTGTTACATTAACAAGTACATTAGAATAAATGTATACATTTTTGGCAGGTATTAGTAAAAATATTGTGTACATTTTTGACAACAAATGTAAAACTCTTTTTATCAGTAAAAAATATTTTGGCAAACATATATTAAAATGTTGAAATATATATCAGAATCAATTGATCAAAATAAATTTTACAATGTTTTATAATTAACAGCAATACCACTGAGGTTCCAACATAGGTACCAAAAGAGATACCAGTCGAGGTATCTATCACAGAAAAAAATGAATTTGCTTGTGCTCATTAGCAAACAAACTTTTACAAACTTTGTATTTTAAATTTGTATGATAAATTAGTCTGTAAATAAACCACAAATGTGTTAATGGCACCATAATTTATCTTAAATATATATCAGTTTCTATAATTAGCGTTCAAGAATAAAGTTGACGAAGTCTGTCATTCAGTTCTTTCTCTCTTTGCAGCAAATCATTAGAGTGCTTTTTAAATGCCTCATATTCCTAAAACAAAAATCACACATGAATATATAACTCTTTTATCTTGGCTGAAAAATCATCAGTAATAAAACAGTGCTCTAACTATAATAATAATAATAATTACTTTACACTTTTGAAAGGCAGAATTTAAATACCTTAACCATCTGAGAATATTTACTGTCTGCACTCTCCAGTTCAACTGCCAGCTTTTTTACTCTGATGTTTGCATTCACTGCATCAGCTTCTCGGCTATATAGTTTTGAAATATTCAGACAAAAATGTAACTTATTAAAACAAGAAAATAAATATAATACAACTCAAAAAATAATTTTTTTAAAAGTGCTGTGTAATTTATTTAAGTTTATCAGACTTCTTTATGAAAAAGAGGTGAAGTAAATGTTTTAAAAAGTATATTGACCTAAATTTGTCCTCCATGTTTCTAAGATTTTTCTCCATCTCTTCTATTTTCTTTTTCAGGATTTTATTGTCCTCCTGCTCTTTCTGAAGTAAAGGTATTGATTAAAATGTTATAATCATACTAATTATCTCGTGATGTTTTCGTACTCTATTAGCTCAAACCATTGTATAAAGGTTATAAATGCTTTTACCAAAATAATTGTTCAGTAAATTAAAATCAATTTTAAGAATATTTTAAAAAATGAATGACAAGATCTAAATGTGTACATCTCATTAGATCTCATCATGACAGCACTAGAGAGGCTAAAAAATACCTGCAGCAGAATTGTGCTGCAGTGGATCCCGGGCCACTGCCAGATCCAGGGTAACGAGATCGCAGACCAGCTGGCAAAAATTGGGGGAAAGAAACCACAACCGGAAATTTCGCTACACCCAAAAGAAATAAAAAGAATAATTAAACACAAACAAACGCAAATGTGGTCTGTCACACACCCTCACTACATTAAAGACGACGGCTATTACAATTTAACACGAAAACAACAATACATAATCTTTCGACTTAGAACAGGCCACAACAGACTAAATCAACACATGCACAAAAAACTGAAGGTTGGGTGTAGCGAAATGTGCCCTTGTGGCAAGGCCCCGGAAAACACGGAGCACGTACTCCAGGATTGTACTCTGTATAGCCAGGCAAGAGGCAGACACTGGCCCCAGCCCACCCCACTCAGGGAAAAATTATATGGGACACCTGACAAACTGGAAACCACAGTCCGGTTTGTCCATGAAGTTGGACTTGTTGTCTAATTCCTCCACCATATTCAAAAATTAAGAACGAAGAAGAAAGAAGAAGAAGATTAGATTGTTATTTTTAAATCGAACAACTTTTAAAAATCAAAATTTTTCCAAAACTATTTTTTCCAAATAAACAAAGCAAATATCACTTAACAACAGTTGAAACATTTTCCCTGCAATCATTTCTTTTATAATGAAATACTTTTATATTTTTTTTTTAGGTGTCTAGCCATTGCAAAAAGATTCTAATTTTGCTGCATTCTTTTGCATCAAATTTCATACTTGTTAGCATTTCAAATTATATTAAATGGCATCATGTCTTATTTTTTAATATTTTAAATTAAAAAAGATATTAATTAAAAAAAACCAAACTATTAAGGTCTATATACAGTGTTAACACTTCTAGACAAATGCTGGGTCTAGGAGAAAAAAGCACCTGAATGATTTTTCCTCTCTGCATCACAAGAGCAAGTAACTCTTCTTTTTCTTTACTGGCTTGGTGTAGTTTTCCTGCAGACTCTTCTTGTTCACTTGATTTACTGGCCTGCAGTAACTGAAGCTTTTGCACTGTTTCTTTAAATATAATCAGTTCATTAATGTTTTAAAGCTTGCAAGTCTTTTATTAAACAATGTTTTAATTACATGCTTTTCTAAAAATAAAGAGTAACAAATGCAGTAAAAAAATTGAACTTTTCAAATGAGATTGAGAAATTATCACAAAAAATGATTAATTAGAGCTTTAAAAAAAACAACCAGGAATCAATGTTTCCAATTTCAGTTTTGAAATGGCATTTAATGTTTTGTTAAATGTCGTTAAAAATTTTAATATTTAAAAAAATATGTTGCTTTTTCTGAGGATTAAAAGTGGTGGATTAAACTGAGCAATCAAACCATTTTTTCAAACTTTTAACAGGCAGAATAACAATACTTCATTTTGCTATTGGAAATTACCTTTAGTTTTTGCATTCTTATCTTAAATTTTACCTTTAAGTTTTTCATCTGTCTCCTTAAGTTTCAGCTGCATTGTCTTCATTTGTTGTTCATTGCTTGCCTGAAGTTCTGATGTATTTTTCAACAAAGTCTCCTCCATTTGACGCCATTCACTTTGGCTTTGTCTAGAAACAAACAGACAATGCACTACTATTGTAAAAAAGGATGTTCAGATACACTGTTGACTTCATCATTTATTATGCGTAGTCCTATTGGCAGATATTTTTTAATATAGTAGATGTGCCAAGTATTTACAATACAGCTTTTCTACTACAAAGATCACGTTTTAAAAAATTGATATCAATTTTTTATGACATAAAGCTTTTAAAAATGTTTTTCTAAAGGGATACATGGCATAATTTCAACTGTCCTTAGTTTGTAAGGGAAATTTCATTAATATTTTTTAAACCATGTGTACTACCTCCACCCACTCACACACCCTGCTATCATCACACAATGTCACAAAAAGCCAGAACCTCTTTAAAAATCACATCACATCTCAGACACTTTAAAAGTTCATCCATCTGTCACGTACCCACCCCATGAGCAATGTAACAAGGGATGCTACTGTAGCTAAAATATAAAGTTTAACCATTTTCAGTAAGTTCCCCTTTTTGTCCATGGTTATTAATCTATTCATTTTAATAGTTTAAATATCCGACCTAAATTTGTATTCCAAAGCTGAGTACTGTTCTTGAACAGATGCTGATTTATTTTCCAATTCCTGAATCATGGCATCTTTTTCTGCCAGCGCTTGTGAAAACAGGCGGCTATTTTCATCACGCAGCTTTGCATTTTCCTCTCTAAGTTCTTGGTTCACACGTTTGTATTCATCTTTAATGCGGATCATTTCTTCATGATTGGATGCTAAACTGTTAAAACGGCCATCCAAAATATCAAACTTCTTTATTTCAGATTTCAGCATGGATTCAGCCTGGTATAAACATAGAATAAAAACATAAATTTACAATCAAATATTTTACATACATTTCTAGTTGGATTTCAACTATTCAGTTCTAATAATGAACTATTCCTTAGAGTGAGTAGCTTACATTAGAATTTTCAGAAAGTACAAGTTTACAATCAATATTTTTTTTTTAAAATAATCCTAAATGTCTTTCCCCAGCTGAAACTTAAAGAAACAACCTTGTCTCTGAAATCCATAAGTTCCTTGTTGATTTTCTCCAGTGTCTGCGACCTAATTGTTCCCTCATCTGCCCTCTGTTTGAGGATCATGATCAGCTGACACTGTTCATCTATCCTTGACCTCAGCTTGGCATTTTCAGCCTTGTCATCTTCTCCTAGGGCTTTCAGCTTCACCAAATTCGACTGCATGTCTTCCCTATCCTAAAGAAGTAAACATTCACTCTATGTATGTTATCTTCAATGATAAAAAAGTTGCTTCACACTGAGTTATTTTGAGCTAGACAAATACTATAAGGAGTTCTATGAAAAGATTTTGATTATAAATTATTTCTAATTAATTATCATATGTGCAAACACTTAAAATAGAAGGTATTTAAAAGTTCTGATTTAAATTATTTAAAAAGTGGCAAACTAAAATGGTTGGTAGACAGATGCCAGATAATAAATTCCAAATTTTTCAGAACATTTGATAAAGTAACAGCAAATCTCAAAGACTATTCATGAGTTTCCTAAAAGCTGCGGCTATTTGTACTTTACTATAAATAGCCCTATGAAGGCTATTCGTACTCTGACCAATCAGCGCAAGGCATTTTTTCTGTGATTCTTGAATTCTCTTATTCTTGCTGTATAGAACTAACTTTTTTTTAGATCTAACCTTATCACTAACCCTAAACCTAACTCTAACACTACCCTAATCACCATCCCTAACCTAATGCCTAACCCTAATCACAATGCCTCGAAAACAAACCAGCAGATGCATAACCACTTCGACCACCGGAACAGTTTCTACACAGGACAAAACTTTGAGTGTCATACGTAAGATAATAAAAAAAAAAAATTATGCACGCATGCGCAGGACAATAAATTTTAAAATAAATTTGATTGGTCAACTAAAAATAGCTAAGTACGAATAGCCTTATGAGGGCTATTTGTAGTAAAGTACCAATAGACACTTCCTTCCTAAAACTAACATTTCTCAAAGAATTTTAATGTGATTCCCAAAATAAACATGTTCAGGCTATTAACCTGATTGCAAAATTAACATCAACCAAATGCTATTGGTCTTATTTCTATTTTATTTACATAGAATAAATCAGCCTTCAAATTTGTTAAGAATTATGGAAAAGCTAAAATTCAGAAATAAATGCTGATTGGCTTCAACCATTGTGGAGGGTCAAATACTTTCATTGTGTTTACATGGATGTGATGTGTTAAATTTTATGATAAACACAGTTAGGCTTCTATAAAAAAAAAAAAAAAAAAATATTCATTATTAACACATAAAGAATTGACTTCAGAACTAGCAATCCTTTGCTACACTAGGCTACTACACCACTCACTAAAGAACTCTCAGAGATCATAGTACGCAGATCTTTTGGATTTCTCAAACTCTGTGATGCCATCTTCCATTATTATTTACATCATCAAATAGTTACATCAGATAGTGACGACATCTTTGGATCAACTTCAAACAAAAACAAAACAGTTTAATAATTCAACTCTGTGATACCATCTTGCATTACACCACATTTACACTTGCAACATGCATACTTTAGGCTACATGTCTAGGAAAAAAATCGCAACAAGTAAGTATAGGCCTGAATGTTCCATGGAAAAATGTTTTTATATAAAATTAACTTACAGCGAATTCTTTTTTCTAGACATGTACAGTATATATGTAGCAAGTGTAAATGTGGTGTTAGTCAGTTACATCAAAATCATTAATCCTAAGTTAATTAGTCATCCTATAATTATGCCTTATATATTATTAGGCCTACTTTAATTATTAAATTTATATTTAAGTCTAGCATGTCCTTGTATATTATTTAAGCCTATATATACAAGCCCTAGATCTAGATATAGTATATTATAAAGTACAGAAGGACTAGTATATCTGAGTCTGTAATTAACTTAATGATGATTAATCAGTCTGTAACATGTATTATATTATTTTATTATAGGCCTATTATTATTAATTATTATCACAATCATATCAGGTTTATTATAATTATTTGAAATTATCATCCATCAATGTTTTTTAGTTCTACTTATAGTGTTATACTCTTAGAATGTCTTAGACTAATGGTAATAGTTGGTAGTCTAATAATTAATAATAAAGGCCAAGGCAATTCCCAGCTGGCTGTCATTTCATGCTAATACGACAGGGAATAATATCTTACAATTAAAATTTAAAAAAAACATTCGTTGTGAATGGGGAGTGAGGTAGCCTATAGATTAAGATAGCAGTGCTATTTTTTGTGTGATAGATTAAATATATTTTTATTAAAAAATTATCATGGTATAAGTTATGTTTAGCCTTTCGGTCTTCAGGTTCATTTCCATTATCTGCTACATAGATATTCAAGTATGCACTCTAACTAAATCTTTAATAATCAATCAGGGTTTAATAATTTTTAAATTAATAATATTAATTATGCATCATTTTAGTTAGTACATCACATTGCTTTTCAACTGTCAATTACCATTTTAAAATTCACATAAAATAAATATCAAGTGAAATAGCATGTCCTTTTTAATCAATTACTTGTTATTCATATTTTTTTATCGCAATGGTCAATGTTTTTTTTTCTCTAAGCAAAATTGTAAGTGATCTGTCTTTTTTTGTTGTGCAAATATGCCAGCAATCAAGTCACTAACAAAATATAATTAACAAAAGTAACCCTTTAATGAATAACAGTTAAAAAATAAAATACAAAAGGTTCAGACCCACAACATCTAACACGACTGCCACTCACCTGTCCTCTCCACCACCCACTTTAATGAAATAAAAATTTTATGCATTTTTAACATTAAATGTATAAAAAAAACAGTCAAGACTGTAAATAGCCCTAATAGTTAGTAAAGATTCAATACATTATCAGATTATCATTATATTATTACATATAATTTATGATATAAGGGGTCGTCCATATATGATGTCACACTCGTAGGGGGGAGGGGGTTTCATAACTTTGTGACAGTGTGTAATGAGGGGGAGGGGGGGGATTAGAAATCATTAGATGATGATGTGACTTCACACTTTTGCATTATAAAAAAGCAATGTTACCAAACGAGTTTTAGCTGTTATTTCGTGTTTTAGAAAACAGTTTTAATAAATTGTAATAGGAATGGATCAAAATACTCTATGTTGACAGAGTTCTGGCAAGATTTAGGAAAAATATCGATGTTTTAAGAAAAATTCAACAGCAATTTTGAGAGGGGTTCTAGGCTGATGTGTGATATCATTTTGGGAGGGGGTCTGTCTTTTTGTGACGACGTGCCATGTGACGGAGGGGAGAATGGGGGGGGGGGTTAAATTCGTCAAACAAAGCGTGACGTCATTTATGAATGACCCCTAATACATATCTCAGATATCTCATATGGTGCCGCTATTCCCAGCAGACTGGGAATAAGACACACTAATCACACTTTCGATACTACTAATACTAATAGTAATAGTAATACTTTAATTTAAAATATTTAAATCAATACAATAGTAGGTAATCTATCGTTTTAGGTACGTAAAATCGGCCGCGACTAGTAATGTGAAAAACAGGTGACTCCTTACATTTTAATAATTATTTCACATTTTGAGGAGGATTTATGTTTTGAAAAATACAAAAATGTTTCCTTGTTTCATTTATGTACCTGTTTTTAAACAATTGAATTAAAACTTTTCAGTAATAAATGAACACCAGCAATATTTCCAACAGATGCAACCACGCTCATTTACTATAGCAGCCATCTTGTTAAAGTTTTATTTTTATAGACATATAGCGCAAGATTCAGGCGGAAGTCACTCTATTTTACAAATGGCTGCTGTTTATATAGCAAATCTTGCTTGCAGACACAGCTGTTTAAAGTTAATTTCTGGCCTATATTGATATATTTAGCCATTGATTTAGGTTTATTATTCATTTATCTATAATATTTGACACAAACATATCACAATATACTTCTATTACAGCCTTGACAATGAGGTAACGTTTTCGTACATTAATAGCCGCGGGCGATTTTACGTACCCAAAACGATAGATTACCCAATAGTACTAGCTCCTAGTATTATTAGTAGTAAGAAATATCATTCTCAGCAGTGTTCTACTGTAGGAGATGTATATCTAGTTTGGAAGTTAAGCGTTAAACTAAATGTACTCAAGTATGAATTACTTGTTCAAGTCCCTCACATTTGTTTTTAAGTTAACACTTTAAATTCCTCACCCTCGGTAAAATCTCAACTCGACTCGTTGCGAATGAAAACAATCTCCCGGAAACTGAAATATTTTCCTCCATAGCAGAAGAAGATGGAGTTTGTGTAAACTTGTAAACTTACTGTCAAATGTAAACAATTGTACTTGATCAAGATTCTAGATATTTTATTTTATAGGGCCCTATTTCGATTAATATTTCGATTTAAATGAAGATCATTTTGTTTTCTAAATATATTTTTCTGACATAAAATATGATCATTCAATAAAGGTACTCATTTATTTAAAGCTAGAGCTGTAGATTAGGGACTTGGATGACGTAGATTTTCATTTGCCCCTCTAAAAACGAGAGTTTTTTCCCCATACCGTAACCTAGACGTGAATTTAGCCGTGCGGCAGTGGGTGATAATTAAAAAAAAATAATTTCACTATTAATCACCATTGTTAATAGAAAAGTGTCACTTTATTCTGAAAGACAAATGGATTTCATCCGATTTCATCGATTGCTGTGTTATTTTTGTTTTTTTCTGTTACCAGTGCGTGATGGTGTGTTTCAGGCAAAAATTGGGTAAGTAAAACTTATTGTTCCATAAAAATTTACTGTCGCTCTAGGCTAGAAATGCGATCTCCGAGCGTAAACACCATTTTTACATATGTGTTTCGAATTTCATTCAGTTATTCATTAGCGACGTATTTTTTTATAAATAACTTTGAAAGCATAGGGCTTACAACAGCTTAAGATTGCCGGAAAAGATCAAGGTTAAAATCGGAAGTGGTGTGTTGTTGTTAATGACGCTATACAATGTAAATCTACTTGATTATCTAAATCCTGCAACATCCACATGAATCTGACTCCAAAAGCTTTTTAAATTATCGAATTACATTTGTTATTTATTAAACTTGTTATTTTTGATGACTTTTCATTTGTATTTTGTTGTAGATTCATTAATTAGGTAATTTTAGGACTGTAAATAAGATCGTTTTTTTCTCTCAGTTTGCGATGTTTATTTTTTAAACAGTAGATTCTAGATCTAAATTGTTAACTTAAGAATTATATTTAAAAACAAAAGAATGTTAGTTATATTTAGTGTGCTTTTCTATACAAATTTCTTAAATGAACAAGTTAATTTTAAAGCTTAATAGTAGGCCCTATGGCTATTAGAAGTATTTGCATAATAATAATGGATGATAGGGCCTAGTATAAATCTAGACCTATTACAGGCTATTACACTTAGTTCAGTGAGTTTGTTGGGACTTAAGGTCTAGTAATATTTAAAAAATAAAATGAATATAGATCTATTACAAGTGTTAATATTTAATTCCAAATGAACCATAATATGTATATTTTTATTCAGCCTTCTACTTGATTTTTTAGAGCAAGTTTTTACTTTTTTATTACATAAGTCCTCTTTATTTATGTTAAACTTGTATAGGCCCTTTTCAATTATAACTCTAGGCATTTTCACTACTTACTTTATGTGCATTTACACAATTTTCTGTGTAAAGCTACACTGTAATACTGTATTTTTGCTATTTTATATTTTTCAGTTGGAGATTTACTAGTCTTGGCCCTAGATAAAATGTACCAGTTCAGCAAGGGGATAGAGAATCAAAAGATGTGGATCTACTCATAAGCAACTTCAATGAAAGAGAAATAGGTCCACTTAAGAATGGATGTTGCTGGTTTTTATTACAGTTCTAAAAGCTATCAGCCAGAGGAGACACAGCTTTAGTAGATGTTTAATCAGATTTCATTTTTAAATCATTGATGGTGTTATTTTTTAAAGTAAAAAAGTGACACAAGCTAATAGACTTAAACATGTTATCCACACAGCATGAGATGTCACTTAAATATATGACACATGTTTCTAAATTATAAAACTTACCTTGAACATTAAATGGTGATCTTTACTCCACCAAATAAAAAATCAATTCAATTATTAAATTATTTGTTCAACAATAATTGTAAATTAAATTATATCAATTCTATGATAACATACACATAACATGGATGAAATATCATGAATATTGACAACATTTAGATACAATTTTAGTAATCTAAAATAAGTTTAGCATTGTACTTCTTTCGTGCAAAAAAGTAGTTGCGCAGAACAAAAATGACTTTTTAAATTTGACCAACATTGTAACGAAACCACATAAGCTAAGTGAAATATTTTTACTTTGTGTGGATGTATACAATGTTGGCACCAATTAGGCCAATTTTCATTAAGATATTTTATATAATAAAAATTTGGCAACAGATTATGTGTTGCCTATAGCAGAATTTATTGTTTAAAATTAAGGGGGGTATATGAGTTTAAACCCCTTTTTCATTAAATAAAATATTTTTAAAATCAAATTTGAACAATGGTAATATCAAAGTATATAATAACCTTCATGTTTACAATATTTCTTGCATATAAGCAAAGTAATCTAAAATCAGCTCAACATTGTACTTCTTTCTTGCAAAAAAAGTAGTTGCGCAGAATAAAAATGACTTTTTTATTTTGTCCAACATTGTAATAAAACCACATAAGCTAAGTAAAATGTTTTGACTTTCTTTTAATGTATACAGTGTTGGCACTATTCAGGCCAATTTTCAGTAAGATATTCCATATAATAAAAATTTGGCAACAGATTGTGTGTTGCCTATCAAAGACGCTTATTCAAAAATTTTAGGGGGGTGACCCTCTTTGTTAACATTATTTTTTATGATCATTCTCATCCACTTCAATTATTTTTATCTTACTCCTTTACTGATATCATGAGCTTGATCTTAGTGAATTTTCATTAAAAAAATACCTGCTATTTATAAAGTTACAGAGATTTTAGTTCGCATCCAAAAAAGTAGGGAAGCAAAAAATTGAGAAAACCCCATAGTAAAAAAACCCGAAAATTAAATACGTTAAAAATTCATAACTCCGTAACCGTTTGAGCTAAAATTAAAATAAAAGTATCTTTGTTCTTGTCTAAATGAGCTCTATAAGATGGTGCTACTACATTATTTATTTTTTTTAAATTGAAATTTCATCCAAGTCCCTACTGTAGATCAAGAAGTAGATCTAGATTCTAGATCCAGTCTAGATCTAGAATCTAGATCTAGAATCTAGTAAGTTAAGTAATTAATTATAAGTAAGTAAAGTAAATGTAATCTAGTCTAGATCAGAGATCTACTAGCTAGCTAACTGTAACTTACTAGATCTACTACTGTAACTACTAAAAACTAGCTAGATCTAGATTCAATTCTAGTTATTACTAGTTAAGATCTAGAGTCTAGTACTGTAGGCCTACTAACTTAGTACTAACACTACTGCCTACTGGTAACTACTAGACTAGATCTCTACTTTATTTTATAATTTTTAGCCTATTCTTTGCAGTTTTACAGAATTTTAGATCTATCTTCTAGCTAGATTATAGAACTATTCTATTCTAGATCTAGACTAGTTCTAGATGTAATTTCTCAGAATCATTTTACACATTGGCTCCCAACATAAGGCTCCCGACAAATGGACTCATGACATTTTGGCTCCTGGCAAATCGGCTCCCAACAAATGGGCTCCCGACATCTTGGCTCCAGACAAATGAATCGTATGACTACTACTAATACTACTAATGGCATAAAAGTAACCATTTTGTCCTTCATGCACTACCTCTATAACGTCTTTCAAATGTGTGTGTGAAAAAAAAAAAATTTTCCATGAGCCAACAGCAATTCTCAAACCAATCGAGCCGTTAACTGCTAAATTACACCAATTTTTACCACGTTTTCTTTAACTTGCTTTCGCGTCTTTCCAATCAAATCTTGCGATCGAAATTTCGGGCACTTCCCAGTTAGCTAGCGCGCTGAAATTTTCAGGGAAGCTTTGTTTCCGATGACAATAGAATATTCAATTGTTATTTAATTTTGATGTTTAATTTACGACAGTAAAGATCTGTTGCTTAAAAGTGAGCACAGAAGTTTAAATGTATGATAACTGGCATTTTGTTTTAATAACCTTTAAGCATACTGCAGGTAGGAATGTACAACATGGACCTCTCTCCCCACACACTGAGTTGGAACAGCCTATAACCGACTCATTCACGAAAGTCATAGCTAGGTGCCCCTTAAATTTAATACATACTATTCTTATACTAAAAAAAATAATATAAAAATAAGGCCTGCCAAACAAGAGATGCATACGTTGTATTATTTAAGAGTGTTAGCTAGGCTAACTCTAAAGAGTATTGATTAAGGGGTGCCACTGGCAGGTGTCATATTCAATGAGGACGTTTTTCTGGGAAACTTATTCTCTACAGAAAACGTATTGACTGGGGCCCTTTTTGTCGGTAGCCAAAGTGACATGAGTTTATTTGTCGGGAGTCGTAATGACAGGAGCTGTTTTGTTGTGAGTCATAATGACGGGGGCTGTTTTGTCGGAAGCCAAAATTTTGGGAGCTTATTTGCCAGGAGCCTTATTGAATGGAGCCCTTTTGTTGGGGGCTCAAATGACAGGAGCCTATATGACGGGGTCCATTTGTCGCTGGCCCTTTTGGCAGGGCTGTTTTGTCATTGGCCATTTTGACGCAGCACGCACTTAATCAGTGTGTGCATTTAATAAGGTGTTGTGTTGACTAATAGTAATAATGTATATATTTTGTTTTATTTTTTTCTAATTGGTATAGGCGCCTAAGTTATAATAAATGTGTGGTATGTTTCTTTGCTTTTTCACTGATATCGTTCAACGTTTATTAAAGCACATTGCATTTTGACCAATAACTATTTTATAAAATATATTTCTCAAACAAGTATAACATTTTTAAAATATAGTCCTATAATTCACGTGTAACAAGTACAGATGCTAGTTACTATATATTTATTATAAAATCTTTAAATTTTAAAGAACTATTAGAATCTAGACCGTACAGGGTATATTCTGTATATCTAGTTTCAGAGTAGATCTAAAAATTGTTTTTAACTACACTCTTAAAAATGTAATGTTGTGGTTTATTTATTTTTATGGAACAGATTTAGTATTTTCCTGTAAGACATTCTTTGCAGTTAATTTGAAGAAAAGTAGCCTACTCTTTCTTTACCTATTTTATTTTGTAACATCACTTTTTTGTGTATGCTATGTCTATATGTTTGGCATCTTGGAGGGAGGGGTAGAAATGTTAAATCTGCCAAAAATTACAGATGGGTAGTTTGTGACAATTATTATTAGCAGTGACGTCAAGTGTCACAAGCTGTAATGTATGCGGGTGTGACCTTGCCCCATCGCCAACATTTTTTTT